AAAGATAAATGTTATTTCATTAAAATCTTGCTAAGAAAACCCAGTGAGATAAAACCTAAGCGAAGGAAAAAGAGTACAGATTATCCTCATGATGTTGATCGCTGAAAATCTTTGAGTCGACGCATTCTAATATTGTGAACCAATTTCTTGAATATGGATGTTGGCAATGATTTTGTAAATAAATCAGCCACATTGTTACTTGAACGAATTTGTTGAACCTCAATGTCGCCATTCTTCTTAAGCTCGTATGTATGAAAGAATTTTGGAGAAATATGTTTCGTCCTGTCACATTTGATATAACCTCCTTTGAGTTGTGCAATACAAGCAGCATTATCTTCATACAAAATTGTTGGACTATCCTTTATTGAAATTAATTCGCATGATGTTTGGATATGATTGGTCATGTTCCTCAATCATACACATTCTCGGCCACTTCATGGATTGCAACTATTTCAGAATGATTTGAGAATATTGTTGTTAAGGATTGTTTCATAGATCTCCAGGATATAGTTGTTTCTCCACGTGTAAATACGTATCCTATTCGTGATTTAGCTTTATGTGGATCAAAGAAATAGAATGTATCTGCATATCCCACTAAAGCAGATCCCGACTTTTGGGAATAAAATAATCTCAAATCAATAGTACCATTTAGGTAACGAAAAATATGTTTAACACTATTCCAATGTCTTTGTATTAGTGTGGAGATATATCTTGCAAGGAGATTTACAGAAAAAGTTATGTGGGATCGAGTACAGTTTGCAAGATAAATTAATGCTCTAATTGCACTAAAATATGGTACTTTAGGGCCAAGAACATTTTTTCTATCTCCAAGTGGAGGAAAATGATCATTTTTCACATCAAGTGATCGAACAACCATATGTGATGTCAATGGATGTGTATTATCTATATAAAAACTTTTTAAAGCTTTTTTCTGTATATATATAGATTGATGAACAAATAATCCTACTAAAAAAATGTTTAATCTGCAATTTGAGGCAGAATTTAATTGTTCCCAAATCTTTCATCTCAAATTTATTTTTCACATAATCTGCAATTTTGTTGAGCTCTTCAGGAGTCTCTATATATTATAATATTATTTTGATGGTAAATATCTTTTAGGTTATGAACATTAATCACACAAAGAATATGCTTCTCAATTAAAATGGGAAGTATTTGGTTCTCAATTAAATTAAATGGAGGAGTTTAACAACCAATAATGTTAAACAATTTATCTAAATATCAACTAACACCTATTAAAAATTTGAGATTTAGGAATAATAGTATTAAAAAGACATCNTAAATAGGAGAACTATGATGTTGCTCTGATGCATAATGACTTTCCCTAAATTGAAATGGGAAGTATTTGGTTCTCAATTAAATTAATTGGAGGAGTTTAACAAACAATAATGTTAAACCATTTATCATCTCAACTAACACTTATCAAAGTTGAGATTTATGATCCTAGTATTAAAAAGACACCGTCTTAATTGTATAGTCTGAAAATTATGCCCATAATTTGAGTATTTTCGCAAAGATACAAATAATATCTAGATGGTCAACATGGAGGGTGACGATGCCCCCATATATCACCCTAATTAATTATCAGAAATATAGGGAGTTCAATCCTTACTTAGCTAGTAACGATCAATGACTAATTTTCAGTAAA